GTCATCTTATTTACTTTGGATATGTGGATAATCCTCTAGTTTCTCATCTTGCTTCCCAGATGGTTTTTAATATACAAGATGATGGAGAAAAAGAATTAAAAAAAATGAACAAAGGAATTGGTAATTTGTGGATGGACATCAGTTTTAGAATCACTTTTTCTTTACTTTATGCATTATCCTACTCCCAACATCCAGTCCATTCCTGAGTCCTGTCAAGCTCACCTCCATCTCCAGATGTCCAGAGTCCAAGCTGCAAACATCTCTTGCTAGAAATAAATACCTCTAACTGGTCTCCTCTAATGCACATCCTCTGCCTTCTGGTCCTTTCTCCACACTAGAGGCAAATAATCTTTGTGAAATGCAAATCTGTCATTTCAGCCCAGCCCCTTGAAGTCCTAATGACTTGTTAGGAGTTTTTGTAAGATAAAGACAAAACAAGGGCTTTGTCTTGTCTGGGCCTCCATTCCTCTCTGGACTCATTCGATATCTATGTTCCTTGGCTCTGAACTCCCAATACACTGGCCCTTTGGGTTTTTTGTTACCTACCTCAGGATCCTCACAGGCCCTTTCCGCTGGCTGGAATGTCCTCTCTTCTCCTTGTTTTTAATTTAATTCTTACTTGCTCTTCAATCTGATGTCAGCTCAAAACTCTTTCTCAGGGAAATCTTCCCTTAGGTGATGGACTCAGAAATGAAAAATAACACTTTTTGGAGTGATTTGCCTCCTCCAGGCCATTCCTGTCTAGGTATTCCATGGCCAGGAACAAAAGATAATGACCTAAGCTAATCCTTCCAATGCAAAATGTCTTCTGGGCCCATTTACTTCATTTTTGTAAGCCAATGTCATCTCCTACTTCCTGTCACCCTCAGTCCTGGAAATTCTTTCTCCTTCCTTATTCTTCAAAAAATATCATAATTTCAGCAGTTTTCTTATCCTTCAAGTAATGGTCCTTGAAATATCGAGTGATTACTGCTCTTATCATCTTTGGACTTCACATTCTAAAACAGAAAGGTGGGGCTTTGGGAAAAAACCCCACAATTCCTGCTAAGCAGTTTAAAAAGAATTTGCTAAAGACCTTCTAAAATAGTATTTTAGAAGGGATTAGAGTATGGCATTCAAGGAGGACTAGAAAACAGAATTCTAGGTACTATACACAACAGTGAACTTTTTTCTTTCCAAGAGGTGTCTCACAGCAAGAAATTATTTTCCTAGAGAATATTGAGTAAAATTAGACAGTGAGTACGTAGTAATACATGAGAGGACAGATACTGATTTTATATTGATTCCTGAGTAACTTGCAATCCATTTCCTCTTATAATTCACTCCAAACCTTTCCATTCATCATTCATTGAACAAGTATTTATTGAGCACCAACTATGTGTCAGGGTCTGTTCTAGGAGGTTGTGATAGCTAAGTGCACAAAACTGACAGATATCCTTTTATACTATTAGGGGAAGATAAACAGATAATGAATGACGTATTATGTTAGAGGAGTTAAGTTACGGAAAAATAGAAAGCTAGAACAAGGTGAGAGAGGTAAATGGTGCTGGTTGGGGTGGAAAAACCGCTTTTGATTTTAAATAGGGGCCAGAGTATGCTTTTTTGACAAAGTGACATTTAAAGAAAGAACTTGAAAGTAAGGAAGTTTACCATATTGATCTCTGGGGAAAGAGCATTCCAGCCAGTGATGAGGCCCTAAGATGGGAGCATGTTAGCCGTGGTCAAGGAACAGCCAAGGCAGGGTGCTGGAGATGAGGTCAGAGGTGAGGGGTCACAGGGTAGGAGACTTTAGGTAAAGCCTTGGAGGTCATTACAAGGACTTTGGCTTTTCCTCTGAATGAAACGGGATCTGTGGAAGGGTTTTAAGCAGAGGAGTGTCATGATCTGACTTTTATTTCAAAAGGATCTTTTCATATATGCAATTGAGTATTTTACTTTAAAATAAAAGTTTTTATTTAAAAATTTTCAAACATAAAAGTTGGAACAACACTTGTATATTCTGTATGTCATTAACCAATCGTTAATGGTTAATGCAATATTCTTTCCGTATATTCTGTATGTGTTTATATATACACACACAGGCTTATAATAACAATCATAATAACAAAACGTTGGAGATTATAAACACATATATATAATCCTATATAACCACGATAGTTATCACAACCAAGACATTTAACATTGCTGTAGTATCATCTAATATCCACTCTATATTCAAATTTCCCCAATTATTCCAAAAACATCCATTTAACTAGAGAAACTATAATTTATCATTCAAACTAGGACTTTTAAAAAATGATATGTAACTTACATATGGTAAAATACACACATCTCAAGTGCATAGCTCTGAGGACTTGGACGTATGGATACGCCTAAGCAACTGCCACGCAAAATAAGGTGAGCTCTCTTAATATACTCAGACAAAAGGTGTAAGCAGAACTGATTGCTTCCTTGTGAGTAGATTCACTGTAAATCTTTTTTGGCAACAATATCAGTGACATATTGGATCACATCAGAAAACATATTTCCGTTTGTACCATTCCTGGTGATAACTTTGAATACTTCATTAAGGTGGATGTAACCAAATTTCAATTTTTGCCTATAAGGTCCATCTTGCAAAACGTGGAAATTTACTTGAAGCAGTTTCAGGTAACTTAATTTCAATTTAGTGAATTAGTATTTAAAAAATGTCCCCATCTCCTTTCTCCTCCCTATCTCTGCTCCTTAGGGCTGGGGCCCGTAGATGGGGATGTGGCCACTTCCAGTGTTGCTTCCTGTCAGGGAGTTCACAGGCTTCCTCTGGGCAGATCAGTTCGCCTCAGCCAGCAGTGTCTTGGCAGGACCTCTCACTCGAGCTGTTACTGCAGCACCGACTCTTGGAGTTTTCCATGTCCCTTTGGAGCCAATGGAAATTTGGAGGGCTGGCTCCATATTTCTCACATCACCATCCCTGTTGCACCTCACGCCTACACACACACGCACACACACATGTGCTTGTGGGCACAGACATATCTGCACGGCAAACATCAAGATCGTCATACCACAGGGTCCCTTTGCCATGGAATTCATCTGAGGCACATGGAGTATATAGCTCCAACTTGTTTGTGCCTCTTCCTTGTAATAGTATTCTAGGAGCATGGGAGGGAGACAGTGAGGGGGGATAGATTAGGGTGGTTAAAATTTTATAGAATTTGGGGGATGATTTATGAGGATTAGAATTGAGGAATAAATGTTAACTTTAGAGATTTCATTTTGCCAGGGGCAGGAAAGAGGGGTAAACAAACCATCTCTAGAGAACTTTATTTAAGTGTGTTAGAACCAGGAGCTATCTACAAGCAGAATTAGAAAGCAAAGTAAAATTCTCAAATTAATGAAGAGAGGAAGGAAATAGAACAGAAGCTTGAGCAAGCCAATAACAATAGGGATAAAGTTAAAAAGGGAAACAAAATTAATAATACACATACAATAAGATATAAGGAATAAAATGTGTGTATTATTTATTACACTGAAAAATTCTGACTACTAATGAGTAATTGATGAGGAGTCATTGCAGGGCCATGAAAATATCTTGATCAACAAACTTTCCCCTCCATTTTTTAACATTTATTGAGGATTCATGCCTCTAAATCAGTCTATATCATGATGGCTACAGAGTTTCCAACTCCACTGCTCCTTCCAGTCCATTTTGTAGGGGGAAAAAATCCCCATAATCCAAAAGTCTATAATAATAAAACAATGTTCGAAACTGCCAGGAAAACATAAAACAAGTGAAAAACATCAGGTCTTTTCTAAGACTTGCAGGACCATAAATTTAGGAAGTACACAAAAAGTTAAAAATGAATCAAACTCATCAAGTTGCATACATTAAATATGTACAGCTTTTTGTATGTCAATCATACCTCAATAAAATGGCTTAAAAAAATCATGCAAAAGAAAATCATACTTCTTGGCTTAATCCTACTGAGCTAAGAACATTAATAATTTACATGCAATTAATATGGTCTCCTAAATACAAGAGATGAATTATTTTATATACACATTTAAAATTCAATATATTATATATTTATGATTTGGAAGTAACTTTATTTATTTATTTATTTTTTTGTGAGGAAGATCAAGCCTGAGCTAACATCTATTGCCAATCCTCCTGCTTTTTCTTTTTTTCCCCAAAGCCCCAGTAGATAGTTGTATGTCATAATTGCACATCCTTCTAGTTGCTGTATGTGGGACGCGGCCTCAGCATGGCCAGAAGCGGTGCGTCGGTGCGTGCTGTATGTGGGACGCGGCCTCAGCATGGCCAGAAGCGGTGCGTCGGTGCGCGCCTGGGATCCGAACCCGGGCCGCCAGCAGCGGAGCGTGCGCACTTAACCGCTAAGCCACGGGGCCGGCCCTGGAAGTAACTTTAAACATTTATAAGTGGCAGCAATATACAAAACAGTTACAAGTGAAAATAATACGGGCAAAGTGTCCTATGTTTTTATCCCAGACACACCAAAAGTTTCAGGTTATTAAGAAAACTTGGATAAAGCTTGTTTTGTATAGTAAGAATGTGTTTTTGGGAGTAGGGAGAGAATAAAAGCTTTCCCTTTGGCTTACAATACGCAGCAGTTTGAAGTCATTAAACCTAGAATTAGGAGGCAGCAGCCCCTCAAGGAGTCAGAATTCTGAGGGGGGAGATCCAGCACGAAGCACACTGCTCTTTCTTCATTCAACCCCTTCACAATGCTCTGCTCAGGCTCCCACTGTAACGGGAATGAATGGTCATCTGTGAAATGCTTTTCCTTTTTAAAAGGTCAAGAGCCTCTGTATCCCAACCCATGAAGCCACAGGCATTGCTGGGGGTCTGAGGGTAACATCTGCAGCTCACTGGCCTGTGCACCTGAAAGCAGGAGGCGTGGAGGGTGTGGAGCAGCCCAGAGTTCAGCTGTCAGTGGCACCATGTTGATTGTAGTCGCCCTTCTAACATTAATGGCTGTACCCTTTGTCCTGGTATTGTAATCTCATTGGAGGCTTTTCATTAACACCTTATTCCTACAAAGCAAAGGAAATGTTTGTTTTAAAAAGATGAGAATCGAGAAGAAATATCGAGTTACATCCTTGAAAATAGCCAAGAAACCCACTGCTGGAATGCCAATGAAATTGTCCTTAAACTTTAGAGTTATGAGTGACAAGCATGTGGCCATGTCATCAAGGAATGACAATCAGCCAGGTTATCACATCTCTGTAATATGTTCCCGTCCTGTGTAGCCCATGGGCAGGAGAGGCCCCAGAGTGGATCTTTTTATTATTTGCCCAGTGGCCCACGTATGCCGTTAAAGGGCTAGCCAAAGTGGCCTCAGTTCTACTCAGCTTGCTTGGTGTAGAGAGCATTGCGGCCGGAAGGACAGCCAAAAGGGAGGAAAGACAATGCACATTTGCATACTTCTTCCTACAGGAGATGGTGACTGTGCCAGGGCCCAAGGGGCTGCCACTCCCGGCTGGGGGAGGGGGAGTCTAGCCTGAGGGACCCATTCACTTTAGCTCTGCCAGCTGCCCTAGACCTCTAGTGTTTGGTAATCATGACACCAAAGGTGGGCCCCCAGCAGGCCATCAGGGAGCTCAGGATGGTTCCTGAACAACTGAAGGGTGGGGAGATGGACCCCTGGGAGCCAACTGTAGCTGCACCAAGTCTCCCTCTTCAGAGATCATCTTCTTTCTATCCTCCCTTTCCATAGGCCCCTCTCCCAAGCTAAGCCCAGAAGCATACGTAGGCTCACCCTTTGCGATACAAAAGCAAGGAAAATTCCTTGTTAAGCATCCTACTGCTTCACCTCTCCATTGTACTTTCAGAAAATACTTCCCATCGCAGTCTACTTCTCTCCTCCCCTTATTCAACCAGCACCAAATTATCTGCATTCCTTACTGCTTTGAGTCTCTGATATTATTCAAACAAGTATATTATTCGTACCTTCTTCAGCGTCATTTGATCTTGCTAAGATAAATTCCCCATGCAAATTCTCCCCATTGACTTCATATTGCAGCTTTTCTTTTTTGTTTCTTTTCTTTCTCCGTAACATGACCCTGAAATATTGCTGTCTCTTGAAAACTTTTCCTCAGCCCCAATGCAACTCCCATTATCCTTATCAATGTTTAAATCACCACCAAATAATTATCTAGAGGCTAGATTTCTCTTCTAACACCTACAAAATGTGCTAGGCACTTTAAACATAGGAAAAACTGAATTTTCCCAGAAGAATTTTCTAATAGATCTTATACTCCAAATATATTTTATATCCTAATAGATCTTACAAGGTAATAGACCTTATCCCTCCATGGCAGTGTAAGCCTCAATCCATTTACTTGCTTAAAGCCCTTCAATGGCCCATCACCCAGGGATGAGCTGCCTGACTTCTGACTCCTTGTCCCTTCTCCAAGTCCTGGAAATTGTTTGGGTTCTCTATAAAACTAAACACAATAGTGTTTTGGAATAAAAGTTCCTTTACAGGCATATAAACTTCTTGTGGACTTCTTAACTTTAATATACTGTAGGCGACCTTCACATACCTTCTGGTCCAATTGGCTCCTCATATTAGAGATGTACAACTGAGGCCCAGAAAAGTTAAGTGTCATGTGTAAAGTTATCGAAATGGTTGCCAGTAGAAATAGGACTGTGGTCCAGCACTGCTCTTTCTTGTGCCAAACAGTGCTGCTGCATCTGCTTCTTCAAAACAACACTTCTCCCCCCTCCCAGTTTGTCAATTTTGGTAGCTTATTTTAATAAAAATATTTTCCATCCTTATTTAGATCTAGAAATCTTAATTAGATAGCATAGTTTATGCAGAGAACAACAAACTTATCAAGGCCCTTCCCCCAGATCTATGCCTCATCAATCATTTTCTTTAAGATGTTGGTTTCAGTTTGGCTTGGAACTTAAATTATAGAGGAAAGCCTTTCACAGCCTTCCTTCTGTTCTCTTCATAACCGTGCTTCCAAAATTGGTTGTTTGGGGATTACAAAGATATTTCATTGATCACATCACATAACTAATAAAATCTTTCAAAAGAACACCATTGGCTGCTAGGTAAACTCTAAACTTCCAACATTCAAAGCTTACTATAATTTGACCCCAAACTAATAATATTACTTAACATTTATAATGCTCAATTTGAGCCAAAATTTTCTTGCATACATTGTTTATATTTCCATCTTCATGACTTTGCTCAAACTAATCCCACTTGGTGAAATAATTAATACCCACAATTTTTTTTGAGTGCTTGCTATGTGGCAGACACAGTGCTAAGAACTTTACATACATTAACTCATTTAATTTTCACAATATCTTCAGATAGGCACTATTATACCCATTTTATGTGAGAAAACAGGCTTATTTTTCACTAAATACTGTCACCGAACCACATGCAATTTCTACGTTGTTTTATGTTCTTTCACAGTCTTGGCAACGGTCCCTATCCTGAAAAATGACCCTACTCCTCTCTTTCCATCTAGTTAATTCTTTCCTTAAGAAACCTCTCTGGTACCAGCCATCACATGGTATTACAGCTGTTTACATACCAGTCATCCCCATTGACTGTAGGCTACTTAAAGGAAGGGGTTTCTTGCTAGTCATTATTTCTGTGTAGTGCTGGAATATAGTACATGTATATGTACTATACATATATGTATACCTGGAATATAGTAATTATACAATGTTTATTTCTCTAGAATTATGGGTCTCCAAGTAGAAGCATTAAGCCCTGACATACAAGTGCTCTTTCTTCCTAGGAAGACACCTGAGTAATAATTTTTTTGAAACTCTTGACTCATAACTTGTGCTTGAAATGCAGGGCTGACTAGATTAATACGTATCTCCTCTCTCCCCCAACTGAAAACCAGGTGCCCACTTTTAGTTTGTAGAAAAGCACTAGGTAATTACCTATGAACACATTTGGGGCACAACATATTGTCCTCCAGGTACGGGGGTGGAAAACTGCTGTCAGGTAGCAGGAAGAGGGCACACACTCTCCCCGGCTTTTCAGGAACCCAGGCTTGTCCAGCATGAAACTGCAGGCGCACCCAACCCTCCGCGCCTGCAGGGAGACTCTTCCCGTGGACCACGCACCACTTGACACCTGCGGAAGGAGACAGAGGTAAAGCGTGAGATCAGCATGACCAAACTCTAATGTTCGAGACTGCATCACGGCCTTTGATTCTGCTCTTTCTCAAGTGCCAGCTCTAGGATATGAACCCTGGAATCCTAACTTAACCTACTCTGTCTTGTTCCCCTTTAGAAAATAATGCAAAATAGTTCCTGTTAAAACTTAAAAAAGAAACAAAAAATAAGAGTTAGAAGTGGTGTAAGCTGCACATGCGGAGGATAGTGCAGGGGAGGCAGAACTTGACCTCTACCCGGCTTAGGTTTTCAGCTGGGACTCTTTAACAAGATTAACAGGAGAAAAACAGTTTATGAACACGTGCAGGGCACACTGCAGCCAACAAAAACTAAGTCAAAATGGTGGCTTAGAATTCCAGCTTATATGACATCTTCGACAAAGAGCGATAAATTCGTAGAGAAATGACAGGGCAGAGGAGAGCAGATTTAGGCTCCCAAAGGCGGCAAACGTGGGAAGGTCAATATGTGAGAGCGAACTAATGGAGTAAGGTTTGTTTGTAGGTTCCTTTGGTGCCATCTCTCCATTGATAAAGAGTCTATCTCCAGCAAAAGCAGAATTTATAAGCTGCCTTTAGGCAGAAAAGGGGGAGCTTTTTTTTTCTGCGTTTGCTGCTTCTTAATTGCCCTCAGTTCAAAATAATTTTTATGTCAGAGACCTATTTTGGGGTGATGTGTTCTGGTTTCCTTCACTGGAAAGGCTAAACTGAGTGATCTGGGAAGGCCTTCATGAAATGGTTCAGGGGTCTCAATTCTTAGCAGGCATTGTATTATGTTAAACAGTTTATGGTCTTCCTTAATTGTATCTCCCGCAATTCTTACAACAACATTATCAGGTAGGTAGATATTATTATCAGTCTATTTTACAATGAGGAAACTGAGAGCTAAACAACTTGTTAATGTCCCTCACTTAGATGCTAGAAGATCCCTGGCTTAAGCTCAGGCAGTTGATTTTAGAGCCTGCCTTTACTTTTTAATTTCTTAAAGGGGAAAGAAATGATGCCAAACGTATTGCTATCCCCTCCTGATGACATCAGTAGCCTAGAGCAGTGGTTCTCAAAGTGTGGTCCCTGGGCTGCCTCATGGGCGGTGCCTGGGAAATTGGTAGAAATGCAAATTCCCAGGTCCTACCTCAGACCTGAATCAGAAACTTTGTGGGTGGGGCCCAGGAATTACCAGCCCTTCAGGTGATTTTGAATATACTGGAAAATTGATCAGAAGTGAGTAGTAATTAAACTTCCTCATCTGAACCAGAACCAACTCTTAATCCTGGGCTTACCATAGGCCTCTTGTCTCGATTCCACTGCGTCCATCTTCCCTGCCCTGGCTGCAATTCTGCTCCAGGACGCAAACACAGCATCCGGGGAGGAAGTTGTCACCACAACAGTCTCAGCTCCCTCAAAGAGAGCAGTAGACCCTTGGAGGGTGTGTGCCCCCTCCTCATGGGGAGCAGCCCCTTCAGGAAGACCAGTCCCAGCAGAAGAAATCTTTTTACCACAACTTTCCAGAAACGATTCTCCCTTGTCCATCATCAATTTTCTCTGTGATCCTGGCAGGATCTTGGCCTCCTTTGCTGTGACAGGAATGTTCTACAAACAGGATTTGAAAGGTGAAAGCGCTATCAGAAGGACAGCCTCATTTGTATTACTCTTTGCTCAGAGTTGGTGAAAAGTGACGACAGGGGGATGTGGTTCGTCCTTAGAAGGAGTAGAGGGGCTGACACAATTCCTCTACTTACTGTTTGATGCTAAAATAGGTAATTAGGATGAGAACTAAACCTTCCACTCTGCCAAATTTTCTACAAATTACTCACCTGTTGATTGGGATAAGCATATTCACAGAGTCGCTTATATGCATCTAATTTCTGAGAAAAGAGAAAAATGAATTAACAATGAAAGTAAGGTCCCTACCCTTTCTCCCAGCAGCATCGTCTCCCAACCCGGCCCTCACCTGGCCTTTGGTGCTCAGTTTCAGTTGTTGGCACCAGGCTCTCAAGGTGTCTCGGTGAAGCATGTTGGCTGGTGGCAGTTTAGAGGGTAATGGAGGAATTGGTGTCCTCTTCCGAAGTCTTACATCCTCTTTGTCTTGTTCCATCTTTTGAGGACAGCAAGCTGAAGGAGAATGGGATGAAACCAGTGCAGTCACTTTTAGCTCTCATAGTCCAATCCCCGTTGTACAGTTCAATGACTTGCCAAGACCACAAAACCGCCAAAGGTCAGAACCTCAAACCTAGGACTTAATATTTCTGAATTGCACACTTTTTGCTTCCTAAAACTCCCCACCACTGATACGCACTTGCTCCTTTGTGAGCTCTGTAACCCACAGGCTCCAAGGAGGGTGCACTAGAGATTGCACTTCCAATCCAGGGAAATGGTAGAAGTTGTAGACCTGAGATCATAAATATTCAGTGGTGCCTTGTCCTCTCACCATAAAAGAAAATAAACCACCCAGCAATGCCACACACACCCCACTATTACCCATAATTCTGCCAGCCTACCTGAGTCAGGGCAGCACTCCAGTCTCATTGCACACAGGTCTCCTGCTGTGCCTCACGCACACTCAGCATTCAAGGAAGACTTACAGAACACACCTCCAGAGAGGACACAACTATGACGACTACACGGTAGTCGCTAGGGTTTACTGAGCCCACATTACTAGTCAGGTATAGTGAAGGTGTTTTATCTAATTATTCTATGTAAATTATAACCCACCTTCCACCGGAACCTCTGACTCAACATGGTAGGTATTATCCTCACTTTTTAGAACAAGAAGTGAAGTTTCAAGGATGGGATTTCAAACTTACATTGGTCTGTCCCCAAATCACTGCACTTTGAGATCCTTAACTCCATGCAGTGAGTGAAGGCAAAATGATATCAGAACCAAAAATGTTGTGGGATTTGGAGACAGGAAGAAATCAGTGTTAACAGGGGTGACCAAAAGAAGGCTTCAGGGAAGTGAGATTTAAACTAGGCCTCGAAGAAATTTCTTTTCTTTGAAGAAAATTCTGTAGGATTTACAGAAGAGAGGACGAAATTTCTTTCCTACTTTTCCTACTCCTTCAGAAAAATTCCTCAGGCCTCTTAGACCTGAGGAAATGAGATCCGAGGACTTGTAGACCTCTTACCTTTGTCATCCTTCACAGATCTTTTTCGTTTGGTCCCCTTCATGGAGGCTTGTTGTGCATTTGGTTCACCAGAAGCCTGCTGTTCCTCTTCGGGTTCTACTGACTGAGGTTTCGACTTGCCAGTCATATGTTCTTCCCCTGATTTCTTTTTGGAATTCCACTGGGGATTAGAGGCACCAGTCAGTCATTCCTCTGGTCCCACCCACCACACACACTACCTGCCTTAAGATAACTCACATCCAAGGCACCAAGACAGTCAGCGAACTCCGCTGGCGGTGTGGATTCCTCTCTGGGTGTCATCTTAATGCCCAAGATCGGGAAGCAATGATGGGGAAATGGGAGAAGAGCAATTTAAAAGTACAAAAAAAGACAGAAAATATGGATACAAACAAAAGAAGTAGAAGAAAATAGGGTCTGCTTTGGGGGAAGTCGTTACATCGCCCATGATATCCATCCTCTCTCACCTGGAAGATTTTCCCCCATTCCTTCACTCTTGACCTCTTTCACATAAGTTTCCTATACTATTGCTGGAGGGATGCTATCAGACCTTTACATCCATTCGAAGATTTATTGTTCTTAGCGTAAAGATATGAAGATAAACAAATGTCTTTCATATAACCCACCAGCCTCTTCTCACACTACTCTCCTCTGCCCCAAGCTCCAGTCAAAGAATTTCCGTCCTTCCCAACCTAGTTACTTTGGCCTGAAGTGGTATCACTCAGCTCCACCCCACCCCACCCTACTTCTATTTACATTCTTAAATGTTACTCCTCCTCCGGAATTCAGTTCAAGCGTTCATCTCTAAACCCTTTTCAGTTTTTACAGACCAAGTCAAATCTACTACCTTTTGCCTCATTCCCACCACTGATCAGTTGCAATTTTACATTTTCTTGTGTCATTTGGTCAATGCCTATTATTCCATTTGATTGTAAGCTTCACAAGGGCAGAATTTCTTTCCCTTTCATCATAGGCACTCGATAAATGTTGGTTAATTGCATCAAAAGAAACAAGAGAACAGTGGGGATAAAGTTGTTTGTACAGAGAATCTGACATTTGTTGAGCCTCTCTCTTCTATTAGGTATTGTTTGACACATTCCTTATTTTCTTTCCTTTAATCTGCACAGCAATCTGGTGACAGTTTGTTTTTCAGATGCAGAAGCTGATGCCTTACATAACTAAGGGCGCGCAGATAGGCACGTTAGATAGGAATTAAATCCCAGATCAACTTGCTCCCAAACCTAATTCCTTTCCATCATCCCCAAGGTGGGAGTACTGGACAAATTAACATTTGTATGGCATTTTTACATTTCTATTGCAGTTTTACATTCGTATTCAAATTTTACATCTACATAGCCCTTACACAAACTACTCACTTTAGGGTCTCACAAAAGTCTTAAAATTGAGAGTGCAAAAATGACCTGGTTCTAGGAAAGAGACCCTGAGAGTGTTCAGGTTTCCCAGGCACGGGAGTTCAGTTCTTCTGGAACAAGCCTCAAAGCCTCTCCACCTCTTGTTTCTGTCTGCAGTGCTTGTCAAGATGTCTGGCTTATTATTTCTTGGCCCTAACGACCCTGGGAAAAGAAGATGAGTTCAGACTCAACACATTTGCTTTAGGATCTGTGTCTGTTGAAGGGAAATTAAAGGGTCTCGTTCTTTCCCCGACTCAGCTCATACCCCTTCCTGAAGTCTTGCCCTCACCTCCTCCTTGCCCTGTTACCATTTCCTTCCACCCCTGATACTGGATTCTTCTTTCTGATGGGATAAAGCATCTCTTCAAAACCAAAACAGGAAACCCCATTTCTTATTATTTCCTAGCTCCAATATAACAGGTTGCAGTCATATCCAGGACTTTACTTTTTTTTTTTTTTAAAGAGGAGGAAATTGAAGGCACATTCTTTTCTCCTCAAAAGAAGGATCAAGTGTGCTCAGGGGAAGAGAGGAATATGAGGAGACTCACAAGGACAGAAAACAAACCCACTAAGATTGTACTTACCTGCTTGCCTTTTGCATTCTCCATACTCAGAAAAGAAGTCAAGGTTGATAAAAAGAAAGTTCTGCTTACTTCTGAAATGGCCCCTGGCCCAAGATTGCTCTTTTAAAAGTCTCCTCCCACTTCCTGCCACCCAGAAGGAACTCTTCTTTTTCTCCTCCCCTCTGTTCCCTCCCCCACAATTTGTGAATGCTAAATTTGTGTACTGTCTTATTCACAAGGTGACTATTGTATGAATGAATTAATACTATTCCTGGCCCTTTTCTATGAGCTTTTAAACAATCATGTACAGGGTGGTTCAGGTGACATTGGAAAGTTTAAAACTCCTTCAGAGAAATTCCAAGAAGAAAAATAAAAATTTCCAGAGACTTGTGAATAGGATGTGTGAAAGGATTTAATGATAGAACTTGTGGAAACAATAGGATTCCGGACCAGACTGATGGCTTTAAGAAAGCAAAGCTGTTTTCATGTACCATATACATTCCATTTCTTAAGCAAGTTACTCTACCAATTAAAACTCCAGCGTTCCGTCTGTGCTAGTAGTAACTAGCACCTTCCCATCTGCCAACAAAGAATTATAGTAGTTTTTAAAGTCTATTGAGTATTTATGTACCAAATTCTAGGCTTAAAAGCTCACAGCCATTATTTTATTGTTCTCCATTTTATAGATGACCAAAGTATGTATAACATCGTATTGGTCACTTGCTCAATAGCACAGTGAGAGAACCAGAAATCAAGTGTAGGTGGACGGGATTCTATCCCTCGAGCCCTAACCTACTGACTCCCAAACAAGGTCCAGATTCTCTCAAAAATAGTTTCAAAAATCCCTCCTTCTCAGATCATCCTCCCTGCCAAACTGTCAGGATTAGAGATGGGAGGGGAAGGAATTTCCTGGGTTAAGAACCAGTGATTGTGAGATTCAAACCTTTGTCAGATTACAAAGTCTGTGCTGTTTTTCCTACATCTCATTGCTTTGCCCTAAAATGATGAAGAAGAAATGATCCTTACCCAGAATGGAGGGGATAATCTGCTCGCAGGATAGAAATACATGGACATAGGGAGTAAGTAAATGGGACCTAGGAGTAGAGAAGGAAGTGTACCTGTGGACTGGGCATCCGGCAGAGCACCAAGGACGAAAGTGAGTATTTAGAATGTAGATCATCTGGGAGGTCGCACCGGGGCTTTGACTGATCAGTTCTTTACTCTGGCTCAGAGACAACAACTGGTAAAGACTTACCAGTCATCATCTTCCTTTTCCCAGTGTAACTGGAAGTAACGTTGCTGAGACTGAGACATCTAATCCCAGGCAAGGTACAATCTCTAAAGCATGTATAAACAGAGCCAGTGTGTGCTGGAATTTGATTTAGGAATTCTTAGTCTCATCACCATTTGGGGGAACACAGTTCTAACAAGTTGCACCAACCATTCAAAAAACATGGGTTAGTTGATGTCCTATGTATAAAGAGGATTAGTACAATTTTTTTTTTTTTTTAAAGATTTTATTTATTTATTTTTCCCCCAAAGCCCCAGTACATAGTTGTCTGTCATAGCTGCACATCCTTCTAGTTGCTGTATGTGGGACGCGGCCTCAGCATGGCTGGAGGAGTGGTGCCTCGGTGCGCACCCGGGATCCGATCCTGGGCCGCCGGCAGCGGAGCGCACGCACTTAACCGCTAAGCCACGGGGCCGGCCCAGGATTAGTACAATTTAAAATATTTGAGCATAATTGGAAACGGTACTACTGGGCTCTTGAATGAAGCAAAAAGAAGCCAAATATCTTTCTAACAGGCTTGTGGGAGTTGTGATAATTTATAAGCAATCTTGGGCAAAGTACGATACCTTTCTGCTTTGGTTTCTCAAATGTAAAATAGGGATAACTGTAAATTTATTGTGTTTTTTAGAGAAATAACTAACACAAATTTATGAGTAGTTTCTTATTAATGTTTAGTAGTCAAAAGAAAAACTTTTTATTGCTTTTTAAAAATGTTATGTCAATGCCTAAAGTTCTATCTACCCTGAGTTCAAAAAATATTCATAACTGAATCTCTTATTCATTTATTGAACAACAGTGTGTTGGGTGTCTGCTGTGTGCTCTGCCTGGGAGACACAGAGGTGGACAATGGCAGACAGGGACCCGGCCCACATGGGCTCACAGCTGGGGGAGAGGACAGATGTTAAGCAAATCATATCAGTAACTAATAATATAAGGAAATGCTCTTTTACTTGATTTTTAAATGCATTATATTCATTTATATGTATTATCAAAACAAATGTAAACTATTCAATTATGACACTTGAAAAACAGAAAAGCTCTGCATGTATGACAGCCTGCAGTGGGGGTTTTGACCTCATCAAGGAAGTCAGGACAGCGGCGGGTCTAAGGACCAGGTGAACTGAACTAACTGAACAGAGGAAGGATCCGCCCAGAGAGACTGCACTCCTGAGGCAGCCCACCTCGGTTCAGGAACTGAAAGGGGCTGCGTGGGGCTAGGAGAGGGAGGAAGAAAATGTAAGCTGAGTCTGGATAGGTTGGCCTTTTGATCTTTAGGCTAAGAACAATGGAAAAATTCAGGGTGGGGTGGGGATGAAGGTGGGAGTGGGGGTGGGCAGATTCTGAAGAGCATTTTGTAAAGATCTTTCAACAGCAAGGAGGAGAAAGATGAGGTGATGGATCAGAGTAAACATGGGAAGGTAGGTTAGGGGGCTACCGAGGCAGTGTTAGGTCTGAGATACTGGCAGCTGGAGTGGGAATGGAGAGTTGTGGCTAACAGCACGGACTGTCTTTAAACCTCAGCCTCCCCGTTACCAGCGTGTGACCTCAGGCAAGTTGTCTCACACCTGCAGGTCTCCCTTTCCTCATCTGTAAGACGGGAGTGGTGAAAACACTAACCCTCACTCAGAGGGTTGTGGGGTAGCGAAGAGGGCTCTCCCATGTCCTGAATAAACAGTGTCTAGGGCAGCACGTGTTGGGTCAATGTTAGATGTTTCTATTGTTACAGCATTGGAGAGTGTTAAAAAACAAAATTCAACTGAGTAAATGATAAAGATCTTATTGGCTTTATTCCATGATTCATGAATCAGGCAGCATCCAATCTAGCAGATAGAAAGGAGCTCTGAGGAGCTGTACAAAATGAAAGATTTTTATAGGCAGAGGGGGACAGCAGGAAGGAAGTTGTACTAGACAAAAAAAGCTGGTTGGTTATGCAAGGTGACTTTCCTTTAGGGAGTGGCAGGGGTCTATCAGGCAGATGACCTGACTAGTGCTGATCAGGCGATTCCTGATGGCTGGTGTAAGATTCCATTTCTGGGAGAGCCAAAAGTGTAAGTTAAGTCTCTGTTTGGTGACATGGGGCTTAGCATAAGTGACTCCATTTTGGCCTGTCTTGTTTTTAGCAAGAAGAATACATATTTGAGAGACGGGGAGTACTCCTCCTATGGTTTCTTTTTTCTTCATTTTCTTGTGTATTTTCTTTTCCAAAAAAAATTTTAATTGAATAAAATGAGCTGAGTTAATGAGGCTTTCAGTTGCTTACCTGGAGGCAATGAATCTTCCAAAGTCATTAATCTGCATTTACAGAAGACAAAACAGGATAGTGTCATACATAACCACCATTTCATATTTGATGGAAGGGAGAGATTTGGCGGGAAGTGGAACTGTGGAGGCTGGTTGGAGGACCTGTCTGGATCTCTCTGTGCTGTGTATTCTGAGAAGTCCTGGGTCAAAAGCTGGGCTTTTAAAAAACTTATATATAGTTCAATTCATATCCAGAATGATTTTACAAGTTTATAACAGTGCACGCGAACACCTCTTTCTCCATATCCGAGAGACTGGTATTTTAAAAAATACACTAGAATTTGACACACCTAATGTATAACAATTTACCTTTTAAGTCTCTCCTATAGTGAGAAATCATTGCTTTTTATGGGGTTATTTTATTTTAGAAACAGGTGAGTCATTTAGAAGTAAATCTAGAGAGTAAGGTAGGCCATCAGGTTAGTTAACAACTGGTTAAAAAAGGGAAAAGTTGGAGGTAGATGGTAAAGCTGGTATCTATCATGAAGTTAAACAAAACTAACCTGTTCCTTTGTTTATAAACTCTCTCTTCCAACTCCCCCCCCATTCCTTCCTTCCTTCCATCGTGTGTTAGGCACTAGTCATAAAAAGGTGGGTCTGGTCCTTAATTATCTCACAGTAGGAGGAGTTCCAAACATGTGAGCAAACGTAGTGTTATTGGATTACATACCGAGTTTCCTTAAGCGTCTACCTGACGGAACAGAACATGCTAATCAGGGGCAGGTTCACCTTGAAGCTACTGAGGCTTAAGCGTCAGGAACTTTATTTGCACTGGCCCAATCCAAGCTCCTGTGAGGACTCTAGAAATTTCGCATGCATAATTTTATATCTTTTTCAAAGTTGCATAAGCTTCAGGCCCCACAGATCTGCCCCAATGATGATTCATAAATACTGAAATGTTTGTGTAACAAAACAACAACGTTCCTTGACAATCTCACCTAATAAGCTCTGCTTTTGCTTCCCCCTACCAGCTCCCCCTCCCGCCTCCCAGTTAACTGTGCTCCAGGAGAATCCTTCCTTGGTTATTAGGTTTCCAGCTCCTGATCCTCCTGTATGTGCTAAGTGCCAATGCAATTGTATGTCCTACGGCCATCACCAGCACATATATAATTTAGTATACATTCAAAAAAGAACACTTTGGGGCTGACAAATTACAAAAAGCATCCACACAAGTGGACCGATTAGAAAAAAGTTGTCACTTCCTCCAGGCTGATGCCACTCTGAGTGAGGCCACAGGGCTTGGCAGGTGGCCCCCGAGCTTTATTTCAGCCTCAATTCATGTTCCTTCCCTGAAGCGTCTACTTGGAGACCACAGTCTATACAATTATCACGGCAGCTCTGGGTCCCTAGTTTGTTTCAAATATGTTACTGAGGACATATGCAAATGCTTTTTGAAGCCAAGATAAATTATATCTATCAATACTCCAGAAGATTCATCACTGCTGTAGAGCAT